ATGTATTAGCACTAAAACCTACATCAAACCTTTGTGTGTGGAACATTTCAATAGGTGAAATATGATGTATTAGCACTAAAACCTACATCAAACCTTTGTGTGTGGAACATTTCAACAGGTGAAGTATGCTGATCTGGTATAAACAAGACTGTATTAACGGTAGCAGCTGATCTGGTATAAGCAATACTGTATTAACGGTAGCAGCTGATCCGGTATAAACAAGAGATTGTATTAACGGTAGCAGCTGATCTGGTATAAACAAGAGACTGTATTAACGATATCAGCTGATCCGGTATAAACAAGACTGTATTAACGGTAGCAGCTGATCCGGTATAAACAAGACTGTATTAACGGTATCAGCTGATCCGGTATAAACAAGAGACTGTATTAACGGTAGCAGCTGATCCGGTATAAACAAGAGACTGTATTAACAAGAGCAGATGAATACGTTTGGCTACACCCCTCTGATGACAGCTATTGAAAAGTCTTAAGTTTGAAGCATCCCGTATGAAGAAGTAAGTAGGAACAGAACACACATAATAGTCACATAAGAACAGAACACACATAATAGTATTGAGGAATTTCTAGAAGTTCAAAACCAAGATGATGATTTGATCTGTTCAATAAAGAAGTTAGTCATATGTTAACAACAAAACAATTTTTATTGTCTTGAGAAACTCTCGTCACATATTATAAACCTCACTAGTATGACTTTGTTTTTCCAGGGCTACTTTCAGGTTCACCAATATTTTCAACGTCGCAGAGGAAATGACCAGCCACGAGCACGGACAACGAATCGGACACCAGCACCACCTCGGTCAAAGGCCACGACGCTCCTGCTAAGCCACACAAAACACATCACCTACCTCGCCACGTGAGACCACAAACAACATTTCCCTACCTCGTACACAACATGCTGCCACACCACCGAAGCAACCACGGAGAAACAGCCATCATCATGGAAGGAGTACCGACGACCGGACATAGCTCGCTAACCGAAAGCCCCGTTTCTGGCCACAATCTTCACCGAAGTCCGACGACTAGCCCGGGAAGGAATCGTCATCAAATACTAGCACCCGCGGGATAACGTAAAATTACTCAAGCCGTGGCCCAAGATTAGCTTACACGTCCTGGGTGAGCCTGAGCCGAGACAGTCGTGATCAGAGAAGTATCCCGAGATAAACTCCAGAAGAAATTCGGGCCAGTCAGGGGATTGAAATCACAGAGCACCAACCGGATCAAGTCTTTCAAAACCAGTCATGCCAAGTCAGAGTGCTCCAACAAGAAGACCAGTCATGCCAAGTCAGATTGCTCCAACATGGAGACCAGTCATGTCAAGTCAGAGTGCCCCAACAGGAAGACCAGTTACGTCAAGTCAGAGTGCGCCAACAGGAAGACCAGTCACGTCAAGTCAGAGTGCCCCAACAGGAAGACCAGTCACGTCAAGTCAGAGTGCTCCAACATGGAGACCAGTCATGTCAAGTCAGAGTGCCCCAACAGGAAGACCAGTCACGTCAAGTCAGATTGCTCCAACATGGAGACCAGTCATGTCAAGTCAGAGTGCCCCAACAGGAAGACCAGTTACATCAAGTCAGAGAGCTCCAACAGGAAGACCAGTCACGTCAAGTCAGAGTGCTCCAACAGGAAGACCAATGGATCACGTATGGAATGAAATATACACAGTACATGTATTGCTTTCCTGTATAAACAAACATCACGTTTTAAGTTAAGCAACTGACACAATATTACACAGTTTGTATAGTTACGGATGAACGTACACTAATACGACGGTAAATTTATTGTACGTTTCTGTTTCACAGTTGCATGTACACCCTACTGATTCTCGCCTTTACGATCAAGAAAGGATACTGTTAAGTGTCCAAGTTATTCGAAATGAGTCATTCCTCTATCCAGATGTTTCCGGAAGAAATGCTTCTTTAGAAATGCATGCAAATGAAGAGGGTTTCACTAACATTTTAGTCATTCACATTGTTGTAAATAAGTGCACGTCATTAGAGTGAGGCTGCTGATGTTTTGGGTTTAGCATTTTATCTGCAAAACAAGAGTGGATGTTGGAAAGGTTCAAAAATGGAGTACTTACTTGCATATTAAGATGGTGTGTACATGTTATTTGTTTACCCGAGTTCGCAGGTATTTTGTTGCCTCTGCCCTTTGCACCACGAGACGCGGAAATGAAGTTATACGTCGATAATCAATCAAATTGAAAAGCTCATCACACACAAACTCTGTTCCCGGGTGTTTCCTTATTTAACTGAGAATTTGACGTCATTTTCATTGCCATCCCCCCAACTCGTGATATCAAATTTCTCGTTCCCAAGACAGGAGCTATTTTTAACTCATAAGAAAAACTAACAATTGTGATTTTTGGAAATGCTGCAGATGACAAATTCTGTAGAAAGTAGCCTAACGACGAAAGGCCCACAAGTACTATTTCTGGTTACTGCTGCTACCGTTAATAGTCTCTTGTTTATACCAGATCAGCTGCTACCGTTAATACAATCTCTTGTTTATACCGGATCGGCTGCTACCGTTAATACAGTCTTGTTTATACCGGATCGGCTGCTACCGTTAATACAGTCTCTTGTTTATAACGAATCGGCTGCTACCGTTAATACAGTCTCTTGTTTATACCGGATCGACTGCTACCGTTAATACGGTCTCTTGTTTATACCATATCAACTGTTACCGTTAATACAGTCTCTTGTTTATAACGAATCGGCTGCTATCGTTAATACAGTCTCTTGTTTATACCAGATCAGCTGCTACCGTTAATTCAGTCTTGTTTATACCGGATCAGCTGCTACCGTTAATACAGTCTCTTGTTTATACCGGATCGGCTGTTACCGTTAATAGTCTCTTGTTTATACCGGATCGGCTGCTACCGTTAATACAGTCTCTTGTTTATACCAGATCAGCTGCTACCGTTATTACAGTATCTTCTTTATACCGAATCGGCTGCTATCGTTAATACATTTTCTTGTTTATACCGAATCGGCTGCTACCGTTATTACAGTATCTTCTTTATACCGAATCGGCTGCTATCGTTAATACATTTTCTTGTTTATACCGAATCGGCTGCTAATTAGTGTTAGGTTTAGTTTTATCACTGTACAGTAGGGCTGTATTGTGCTAATTAGTGTTAAGTTTAGTTTTATCACAGTAGGGCTGTATTGTGCTGATTAGTGTTAGGTTTAGTTTTATCACAGTAGGGCTGTATTGTGCTGATTAGTGTTAAGTTTAGTTTTATCACAGTAGGGCTGTATTGTGCTGATTAGTGTT